TATATATATATATATTAAAGATCTTATTGGGGAATTGGGGGAGGGAACAGCATTGGGGAATTGGGGAAGGGGAACAGACAAATTGCTGTCCTTTTGTTCCTCAGTCTAGTTGTAGAGGACGTTGCTTCACTGGCCCATGTTGGTATTGTGATCATTGTGCTCTTCCCGGCTGAGGCAGATCGGTCGCCGGCCACTGGACGGCCACTCACGGGGCTCACGGCAGCTCACGCTGGCTGCAGGCCACTCATGGTAGCTTATGGCAGCCCACTGCAGCCCCACTGCAGCCTATGCTGTTGCCGGGACTCACGGCAGCCCAGCTCCAGGTTGAGCTGTTGTTCACCATCTTAGCTGTAGAGGGCACAGTGTCACTGGCTCATGTGGGATCCGAACTGGGGCCCTGCTGCTCAGAGCTGGCTGAAGCCAAGTCTTAACAAATGCTCCACTCGGCTGGCCCTCTATGAGGGTTTTATAATTTATTAGGTTGTTGGAAAAGTCATGACGTATTTTTTCTATGTTTTTCATTGCAAAAATGCGTCATGAGTTTTCCGACAACCCAATAGTATTTCTATTTTAATGTTAATCTGAAAGCTTATATAGTTTTAAAAAATGTCACTTACTTAGTAGTTTCCAAAATTGAGTTGGTTCCTGAGCATTCTCTACTGGTCACCAATGCCTCTTTTTTTCCTGAGTATAGTTAACTCACAACTTGAATTTGAAGTGTTTGAATCCATTGTAGTTCATATTTTTATTGATGTTTAAATTATTTTATATTTGGCTAGAGGGAGCCTACTCAACTTACTTCTACGTTTAACTGCATGTCTGTACAATTTGGATAACTACCTTGTAAACAAGCATTGTCATTCAGCTTCAGTGCCCAATTTTCATCTGTATTCATACTGGTACATAGTAGTTATGCTTCAGTTGTTTTAGTCTAATATCAAATGAATAGAGGCAGCAGAACAGACCTAATATGTAAATGACGCATTTATTTCAAGTTGTGAAAATATGTCGTAGCATGTTCTGTGATGCTGGTTTTACAGTATTTCAGATATGGGGAAGGGAGGGAAATTGTGACTTGGTACCTGGTGAGGTTGTCATGTGAGATGTAAGAATCTGCACCACTGGAGTCAGTACCACAGTCTTGTGTGGAGCACTGATTTAGTTTCAGCAAAATAGCTACGAAATTAATGTTAAATTGAGTTTCGTTAGTGTTCTGTTTTCGTTTAATTTCAAGTTTGGTTTGCGTTTGCACCTGGTCAAGAGTTAAAATCCTAAAGACTTTAAAACAACTTGTGTTATTTTACATCTTTCCTCTTTATCTCTTTGTTTTTGTGTTTTAGGAGTGATTAAATTGGTTTTGTACTCATTAGATTTTGCGGCAGTGTCTGTTGTGCTACTGCTATTTTAAGTGTTCATTTTTAGTTTTGTAACTTAGGTGGAGGAGCTGTTTTTGCCGTGATATTTATAGGAATAATTAAAAAATCTTTATTCCACTTATTCACTTTTTACATTTCATTATTTAGTCTTTATATATCAGCCTGTTCATCTGTTCAATCAGTGGCTTATGATATATTGTTTTAAAGGTTTAAAGTGAAGTTGCCAGATACTTTGTGTAACTTTTTATCTTATTTCTGAAATGATTTATTTTCAGTATCTTTTATTTCTCTTATATTTTGAATCATTTCTCTCATTCTGCATTATTTTTCCATACGTCCTGTGGTGGCTTTCCCCCCTTTTTTTTGTTAGCTGGGAGGGAAGGAGGGAGGGGGAGAGAGAGGGAGAGGGAGAGAGAGAGGGAGAGAGAGAGGTGGGAAATTCATTTTATTCATCAGCTTTTAGTTACAGCTCAGAATTTGTTAGCAAATAAACCTACACAAAAAGGATGCTGGCAAGCTCTGCTTCTGGCATGGGTAGATAAGATTATTTTGGATTAACTCTCCTACTCTGAACAACTAGAAAGCCCCCCCCCAAAAAAAAAAAGTAAAAAATAATAATATGAATCTGTCAGAGACCTTCCAAGGCAGTGAGGAATCGTATAGTAAAAATCTGGTAAAAATGGGAGTCCAGAAGGATGAGTCCTGCATTTGGGACTCTTTTTCTCCCTCAAGGCAGTGGCTGATTTCAAAAGAGGTGCCTTAAAAGCAGAGAGGCTAGTATCAGAGCTATCAATAGACTCTAGAGGCTAGGGAGATCACGACTGGAGCTGAGGAAGCCTCTAGCTTTCAGCTGAGACTCCAAAGGGTGATGGCCTAAGAGAAATGGTGAATTGAAAAGTAAAGTGATAAACTGAGAATAAACCAGCTTTGAATTATCTCAATTCCTAACTGGTTTAAGGTGATTTGGGATTCCTAGTGACCCTAGCCTGACATCCTGCTGGAAGCAAAACTAAATCTCTCCTGAAGGAAGATATCATCATCCAGAGCTTTAAATGATCTTTACAGTTTTTCGTATACAATGTCTATCACCTGATAAAAAAATACCCAGGCATAAGACTATATAAGAGATGACTGAAAAACAAGGGAAACAACAGACAATAGAAAGATACATGGGACTATAGAATAACTATGATTAATGTGTTCAAAAATTAAAAGATAAGATTGAGAATTTTGACAAAGAATTGGAAACTGTAAAAAAGAACCAGAATTACAGAAACTGAAAAATATAATTACATCAATTAATTAAAACCCTCAACAGGTAAATTAAACAGCACTTTTTATACAGTTAAGGAGAGAATTAGTGAATTGAAACATAGGCGAGCATAAGGTACCCAAAAAAAATGGAGGAAGAAAAGGATGAACAATACAGAAAGAATATAGAAGACATATGGTAAAAATCTATAACAAATACAACTGGATTTCCAGAAGGAGAGGGGAGAAAGAATGGGGCCGCAACAATGCTTGAGGAGATGATGGCTGAGAACCTACAACACATGAAAGATATCAAGCTATAGATTACATGATCTGTATGAGTCAAAAATCGGATAACTACAAATAAAACTGTACATATTCATATGAGAGTAAAACCATTGAAATTCAAGGAGAAAATCTTAAAAATAGATGAAGCTAAAAAAAGCAGATTGCCTTAAAAAAAAAAAAGCAATAATAAAAAATGACAGCTGACTTTGCTTCCAAAAGCGTAGTGATGTCAGGCTTAGCTTGAAAGATGAGAATAATAAAGATAAATGCAAGAAAAGTTAATACAGGTGGTTCTATTACTAACTTGTGTGAGCTAAAATCATTTTATATTTCTAGTTTTTTTCTCATCTTACAGTGTGGATTTGAGTTTTTTAACTTTAACATCACTTAATTTTACCCTGAGCCTTTGTCATAGATTACTTATATACTATTTTGTGTTCACTCTGTAAGACCTCTGGTCTATGTAATATGTTAGCGATAATTGCATTTTACTTTTATATAAATTACTGTCAAGATAGACGTTGGTTCTCCCAGGCGTCATCTGTATGTTTCCCTGGATTGAGAGGCGGGTTCCTGCAGGGTAAACACTCAGGTTGCTATTGCACATATCCCAACTTAGGGAAGCAGGGGACAGAGGGTGTAGAAATAGAAAACTTTTTTCAGAAATGAGAGCTACAATACAGGTAGATTTCCTGAAATTCTAACTTCTTTTAGTCCACTGTCTTTTTTTTTTTTAAATTATTTTTTTAGTTACAGTTGATGTTCAGTATTATTTTATATTAGTTTCAGGTGTACAGCATAGTGATTAGACATTTATATAATGTATGCAGTGATCCCCCGATTAGTTTAGTACCCACCTGGCGCTATACATAGTTGTTGCAGCATCATTAATTATCTCTCTATGCTGTACTTGACATCCTCGTGACTGTTTTGTAACTACCAATTTGCATTTCTCGATCCCTTTACCTTTTTGACCCTAATCCAGACCGTCTTAACCTTGGTTCTTCAGAAGAGCTAAATCCACACAACCGAAATGAAACAGGATTTACTCACTTCTGGTTCATACTCACTTTCATCTGTACTTTCCCTGCAACTGAGGCTACACTTCTTTCTGCACAGTTCCCCAAGGAACTCGAATTGTTCTCGCCATATGTAAAGTTCTACCTTTTAATTCGGGCTGAACTTAGGAAACTGTCTTCTCAATCAATCGTTTCAACATCCTCTTTAACAAGTTATATACTTGTATGATTTGTTCTATGGATCGTGCATCAGTTTTAACGATATTTCTTAGTCATCCTTGGATGAGATGTCTAAACCTGAAGTTTCTCAGCCATTCAGGGTATGTGGCTTTTCCTCAGCTTTACTCCTTGTTCCCTTGAGTTTTAGCTTAATCCTCTTTTCAGGTCTATAGCTGTGTAGAGGTCTGGACATTATTTTCGTATTTAGCGTGTTTTTATTTAATGCAGCTCTTTAGTTCTAAAAAGCTGTCTTCTTTTGTCACTTGCTGGCTTACTCCGTCATAATCTGAAGAGACATTTGGATAACTGTAATTTCTAGTATGTACTGACTGACATCTGACCACATAGTTTCCGGGGATTTGAAATCTTTAAAAGAATGAAAGACATGTTCTGGTATAGAGCTGGGCAGTGCACATTGTTTCAAAGCAGCAGTCACGGCTCAGTTTCCTGTTTGTGACAGGTCTGGGGTTTCTGCAGGAATCTTTAGTAGGGATGAAGGCTTTCTTTTTCAGATGTGTTGGCCTTGTTATGTTTCTAACCATGGGTGGCACAGTCTGATTTTGTAAACCCTTAGATAGTAGACATCTCTTTTACATTCTGGTAATAGAAAGATGGACTAGGTAGTGACAGATGCTGTTTAAAACCAGGTGTTAGAATTGGTTCTTAAAATATTTATGTTTATTATTTTTATATTTCCTAACATTAAACTTAGTTCAGCATTTCCTCTGATATAAATTCTCATTGGGAAACCAGATATTTTAGAAATAGTTTAAAAAATGTCTATTCTGTTTGTATTTGGAAGTTATTTAAAGAGGATAAATCTCCCTCATTATATTCTTTAATTTAGTTAAAAGAAAGCTTGGAACAATCAATAGGACAGCTGCGAAGTCAACGTTTATTGAGAAGCTCAGGAGGGAGAAGTATTTCTGTTACAAGTCTGAGTGCAAGTGACCTTGATGGTGGCACTGTGACAGGTAAAACCTACAGATGTTCTGCAAACACTTTTTTGTTTCAAAAATATTCCCATAAGTAAATACTAAATATATTTAATCTTTGGACAGCCTATACATAAAATCACACATTTTATGTATATGCATAAGATGCAGTCAAGGATTTTTTAGTGAATATTTAAAACTATATTTACGGTACTTTGTTATTACTTTTCTTCGCAGTGTCTGTTGACCATGTAGAGCTTTCTTTACCTGATAAATCTTGGATTTAATTGACTGCCACCAATCAGAAGAAACATAAAAAATAAGATTTACTGTGTGGTATACTTTCTGGATTAGAAGTCGTATCCTAGTTTCATAGTTTTTTCAAATAACTGATTATGAAATATCCTATCACAGTTAAGAACAGGTGAACTTTATCCTTACTGCGCAGGTAGAATTCAATGGCTAGATTAAAGGTGAGAAAACTTAGTTTGCCTGTAATTAATCTTACTTGTACTTTTCTACAGCACTTAGGTTCATGTTTGAATAGAAAAGACTTAGAATAGAAAAATCTGCAGTGAAGAGAGGTGATAAGATAGAGTGAACATTAGTAGCTTGCATTAATATTGCTATTGATCATGATGATAATGATTAAAAATTGGGCACAATCACATTCTTTATGTAGTTTTTATTGATTTTTAAATACTATTCATATTTTAGATTAATTTGTTATTGAAAAATTCTGTTATATTAGTATTAATTTAGGGAGTCAAAAAAGTTATTTTTATGCAGCAATTATTTTTTATGTAAGAGAAAATTGTATATTGCTTCTTTGAAAAGTATAGCAAATTAGAAATGTTCTATTTCCAGCTAATTTCTGTTCATTTTCTCTGTTTTAAGAGCAGGAATGGTGCCAACTTTAAGGACTTTTATGGGCACAGTAACATACTTGGGAAAAGTTTGAGTTAAGGGCACGTGTGTATATTTATATCTGCTATGTATTTACTGAGTAAAATTTTAGATTGTTTCTTCTCATGCAGTATTTTGACACTCTTTCTTTTCTTTCATTTGTAAAGAAAGCCAACGTTTTCTACCTACCTCACCTCTCAAGGACTATGGGGATCAGCAGAGTAGTAAACGAGTTAGATCCAGACCTGGTGTCCGATTTGTTCGGGAGATTGATGACGCGGGCCAGGTACTTTGTACCATTCTGTAATCTCTGTTCCTTATATTCCTATGGAAATGACTGACACTTGAATTTTATGACTGTATTTTAACCAGGAGTTTCATCACCCATACCTTTGTAGTGATTTTTTTCTTAAAACCAAGTAAACTATTGGGTTGTTGGAAAAGTCATGATGCAAGTTTGCAACAGATGGCACTAGTTCATTTTTGGAAGTACTAGAGTCATTTGCATCTATGTTATTGCTATGTCATTTGACAGCTGACAGTTCTAGCTTCATTCTAAAAAAAAATTGAGCAATTTGGTTGAGTTTTTGAGATTTCACAACAAGTTGAAGATGGAAGACCAAACTGTGCATTTTTGCCATATTTTACTGTTT